TGGGATCCTAACACTTTATTGTTCACATTCAACCTTTATAACAGTTTTCCAAAACTTCAGCATAATAGATGAATTTTTTAAAGAATTTTATAATGATGTGATACAAGCTGTTCTAATATTTTCTAAACTGTTTACACTTCTGCAGTTGCTGTTTGTTTTCAGATCTCTTTTCTGCAATTTTTGACATAATCTGCCAACAGTTCTCAGTAGGGTTAGATCAGAACTGTTACCTGGCCAGTTTAGGTATTTGATCTGAATCTCTTTGGGAATTTTTTAATCTAAACAACAATTTGTGCATCAGTTTAAATGACAGTAATGCTAACAAACATAAACATAGAGGAAAGGCATTATATACTTTACATACCATCTTGGCACAGTGACATGGCAAATTATCCTAGAAGATTTTGTGAAGAAATTCTTGATTATTGGAATTTTGCACTATTTGATGAGAGGATAACTTTCAGTATTCAAAGCAACAATTATAAACGTTTTATGCAGTGTTATATGTAGATAGGGATATTTTTCATCTTGAATGCACTAGTATGCAGTACCAGCAGATCATATGAAAAAGTAGTTGTTAGTAGCCATTACATAGCACTGTTCAGTAAAAACAATTCTGTATGTTCAGTCACCACATATGCATACTGGTAGTAATTTTTTTAGAAAAAAAGCAGTAGCCATACATGATGCAATTTTTATGGTTTCTTGCAGGTTTGCAGCAAAATTATACTTTCATTTTAAAAATATTTTTATAGGGCTTTGTGTTGCAATTTCCATAGCTGCTACTGTATTTTTATACTGTATTCTCATCATTTCTTATATGTAGGGTGTATCTCTCCATAACAAACTATATTTTATTGTGTGACTAGCTCCAGTAATTCGAGAACAAGATAGTTTTAATCTATTTTTTTAATTTGTATATACAAAAATCATTAATTTTTTTTAAAATTATCCTGTTTTTCTTGTTTTTCTTTTCTGATTAATGAAGAATATTTTAAATTTAGATATACACATGCACATATTTTTATGATGACTTTCAATTAAATTTTCTGTATCTAAAAGTTCTTTAATACTATTATAATTACTGTGGTATTCAACATATGACATTTTTATAAATTATATGGATTAATAGATAATACTGAATGCATTTTCCAATATGAAATATTTAGCCGTGACTTCTAAATTAATTGGCTGATAAGAAAATCTCACTGCTAAAAACAAGTGAATCAGCATGTTTTGTGAATACTTAGCTAATCAACATTTCATAAATGTTTCACTTGAATGATTGCATTGAAATATTTTCTATAACTTAAAAATTATTCAAGCATCTAAATCAGGGCTTCTTAAACTATGGGTTGTGACCCCATTTGGGGTCGCTTAGCAAAATCTTGGGGTCGCGAGATTTTAATGNATGCAAAACTTCTGTATCTTAAAATGATATCTCAATTTTTAAATTTTAAATAAATTATAACTGAAATCATCTATTTATATTACAACAGGTCTGAAAATTTAAAAGGCAACTGAACCCAAATTTGTTCTCTTTCTCTGTTCCATTGTAACACAAGAGTGAACTGTGGTAGTACACCATTATTGCTTTTGCAAATTTGTATATATCTTTATTTTATATTTTTTTGGGTCGCAAAAAAAATCACAATCATAAATGGGGTCGTGAATAAAAAAAGTTTAAGAAGCCCCAATCTAAATTAATCTTTATTATCAATTCTAGCCCCCTTTCACAAAATTATCATATCATCACTATGAAATAGTTACTTGATATTATTATTCATCACTTAACCTATAACAAAGTCAAAGGGTAATGCATTTATTAATGTACAGTAGAGCGTCGTTTATCCGAATCAATTGGGGACTGGGGTTGTTCGGATAACTTATTTTTCAGATAACCGATTATGTACGAAAAAATATATTAACCTATCCCGTGTTAAAATTTTTCTCCGTTGCATGTCGCTTCGCGTTGAATTTTCGTCGATGTTAAGCCTAACGTAAACTTTTTAAAATAATAATCGTGGCTATTGTATCATTAAAAATGATTTCTTTATGTTTTACAAACAAAATAAATACATTGAAAAATATAAAAACAAATAAAAATTATACTTTAGGCCGACTGGAATTCTTTCGGGTAAACGACGCTCTACTGTATTTTGAAAACAATTTGAAATATATTATTTTTATCACAGAAAAATCTTTTTAATTCACTTTTACAAACAGTGATTTTACTTTTCTTTAATACTTATTTTCAATAGAAAGATTTAAAAAATTGCTCCATAAAAAAAATATCTTTATCTTGAAATTAAATATTGTCATTACATTGCAAAATAATTTTTTAATTTCTAGGAAATATGTCTCTGGGTGATAATTTTTGATTTTATAATTTTTTTATTGTACTTAATAATTACATTGAATTATATATGTAATGTTTGTATCTAATTTTAATGTTCTACATATACATTAAAATTACATATATAATTCATAAATTGATATGAAATAATAATTAGATGTAATGAATATAATCATGTAAATATATATATTATTCATATATATTGTTTGCAGATAAATTATTATCTAATTTATATAATTAACCTGTTTTTATCTGTAATGATAGATAAATCATTTTACAATATAATGTTTTTTTTTAATTACTTCACTTATTTATATTTATTTTTAGATTGAAAAAATTTGATGATCATAAATAAATGCTGTAATGTATTTATTCATTTATGATAATTAAATTTAAATACTTGCCTTTATCTACAATATTTTAATTTAGAATGACTTTTATTTCAGTATATTGGTCAGAAAAATTTAAGCTTGTTGTGTATTTTGTTGAAAAATTTTAACCTTATTTTAAAGTGTAAATTAATAAGCTTTCAATTGACAATTAATTAAAACAATGAATTTATGTTAAAAAAATAAAATAAATTTCTAAAACTAAGATAAGTTTTCTTTTATTATTAGGCTACAGATTTTATTTTAAATAAACATTGTTATCTATTTTAATAAAATATATATTTTATTAAAATGTAATTCTGCCAGCCCATTTCTACAAACAAATTGTTATCTATGTTTTATGATTGTATCTATGTAGTATACATGATCTTGGAATTTATCAATTTATCTTCAGATTGCTCTATTCACACTAATTAATACTGGAGTGCAGATATAACACCAAACCTTCTTTGAAGTACCTTCTAAATAATTCTCCAATAGCTTATTATTTTGATAACAACCAACATTTTCGATCCTCAGCTGGATCTTCTTCAGGTCAAACATAAATGTTTCATTTTAAAAATGTTATTAATCAAATGCATCATCTCCAGGTTAAATTAGCTGTGTGACATCATTGCTAGAAAGCAGGATACAAGATATTAAACCCATTTCAAACCGTTATTTCTTTAAACTTTTATGAATTATAAAAAATTTTTAAAAGTTTAAAGAAATAACAGTTTGAAATGGGTTTAATATTTTGTATCCTGCTTTATAATAAATATGATGAACATGTTCTGATCATATTAAAATTAAATATTATGAAATATGTTAAACTGTTACATACAATATTCAAATCAAATGTAAGCACTGTAAGATTTACTTTTGTAATGTAAGTTTCTTAAAACTGGATTTTGAAATTTTATGTAACTATGACATGTGTAAAAAGTTACTCTCTGCCTTAAAAAAATTTGTTATCTATTTAAATAATTTTAGATTTAGCTGACAAATAGTAATCAGTCTGTCAAAAATTAATCATATATAAAACAATAAAAGACTTCTGATATAAATATTTTAATAAATATGAAGTGTAATATACAAAAATTTTGGAAATTTTTTAAATACCATAATTTTTTTTTTTTTTTTAAATAGTGCAGATTAAAAATAATTACTTATAACTGAAATTGAGAGCAAATAATATGTATATATGTATTTTTGGAATTAAATTAGAACTCTGCCCTTATTAATTGAGAACATGCTTTAAATGTCAGTGTCTTAGCAAAAACAAGATTAGGACAGCTGCTTCAGGTGGAATCAGATCAAGCACATCTGCATAAAAAAAGTCTTTTGTGATTCAAAAAATTTGCAAACTTTACTGAATGCAAAACTTCTGTATCTTAAAATGATATCTCAATTTTTAAATTTTAAATAAATTATAACTGAAATCATCTATTTATATTACAACAGGTCTGAAAATTTAAAAGGCAACTGAACCCAAATTTGTTCTCTTTAATGATCCTTGACCTCGTTCATGTTAATGCCAAATTTCATCATTTTCCAGCATTTCACTTTCAAATTTGCAATAATAATTGATAAAATTTTCAATTAAAAATTAATTTTTATTTATTTCTAAAAGAAAAAGAAAATAATTTATTTATTCAATCAGAAAATAAGTAGTTTTATAAATTTAATATTTATTGATTAATATATAAATAAATCAATTTTATAAAATATTTTTCACAGCAATTTTTTTTTCTTTTTTATATTAATTTTGGCTAAACTGATAAAAGCATAGTAACCTACATACTCAATTCAGTTGTAATTGACCAATATTTAAACAATTAGTGGGTTGTTCATAAGACACTGATCCAAATAACTAACAATAGAAATAGAACCTGCTGCCAAAGTTTTGCTTTTCTATTCTTTTAGGAGTGTTATTTGCAGGAATTTAAAAATACTTGCATTTATAATTTTATTATTAAAAAAAAGAAAAGATGATATGATAGAAATTTCATATTTTATATGTATTTATATTCATTTAATCAATAAAAATTAAATTCTTAATATATCTTTAATTACAGAATTTTATGCTTTTATTGTAATATTACAGAAAGTCATTTATTAATATCAAATTATTTAATTATTAATTTATGAAGAGATGCTATAAAATAATTCAATAAAAAATATATTTTTTTTTATTTTTTAAATAAGTAAGCAAACATTATTATTAACTATACTGCATAGAAACAATAATGAATTTAGAATTGTCTATTTTTTAGTATTTGAAAACAAAGAAAAGATTGTGTTGGTGATGCAATATGCTAGTGGAGGAGAACTATATGATTACTTAAGCCAAAAAAAAATATTGAATGATGTAGAAGCACGTCGTATTTTCAGACAAATTGCAGCAGCTGTATATTACTGCCACAAAGTAGGTAACATTACTCTAGTTGAAAATCATTGGCTTAAACGTCAGTAAATACACAGTCTAAATGCACAAACAGCTGTAGTTGAATTTATATAGCTTCTGTCTTTAATATTAAGATAAATTCTTTAATAAATATCTTAAATTCAAATAAATATTGTATATTTTATTTAATTAAAAGCTTTTTCTTTTACATAAATTCTGAGTTAATGAATATTTATGTTGTTCATTTTTATACCATATTTTTTTATTTATATCAGTGCATAAATTAAATAAATTAATAGTAAATTTAAATAGATAATCTTTATATTAATAATAAGAATTTTTAAAATAATATACTGTAATTCAATTTTAAAAAATTAATAAATTGTGTATATTATTAACTTATCAGTTAAATATTGTTGTAATAAATAATTATTATAATTTACTTTTTTTTATTTTAAAGAATAAAATATGTCATCGTGATCTCAAACTAGAAAATGTTTTATTAGATGAAAAAGGAAATGCAAAGGTATAATAATTTATTTCTTAAAATGATTTATTTATTAGGTTTTCTTTTATTTATTTAATAAAAATAATAATTAAGTTTATAAGTGAAAAGAAAGAATGTAATACAATTTAACATTTGTAATTTTCTGTAACATTTAAATTTATTTTAAGACTATTAATCATCATAACTCTTCTCTGTTTTTAAAATTAATTTCAGGCAACAAATATACAATGTATTATTTAGTCTAGGAAAGTATATACAACAGCCTATCACTAATTCTTAATAGAATTAGTGAGAGACTGTTGTATATACTATTAGAGAGAGAATTTTTTTTAAACAAAACAGATTTCTAAATAAAATTGAAATGTTTAGTCACATCTATCGGAAAAATTTATATTAAAAATATTTGCCTTATCTCTATTTACAAATCAGTCACTCAATTATCTTAAAATATATATAAACATTAAATAGTTTCAAGGTTATCAAATTTAACTGGAACTTTTGAAATATATTACAGTATTAAAAATAAATAAAAAAAACTTACACTTTCTAGGAAATTCTTTCCATAATTTTTGATTTTCAATTTGTCTCTAAAGTCTTACTTTACCAGTTCTATTTAACATAATTGATTATTCGTATTAGAGTTAAAAAAATATTATACTTGAGTATAAAAGATTTGTTTGATAATAAAGTTACTATAATTTCTAGAAAATCTGCTCTTTAAAAAAAAAATAAAATTTGTAAAATTGTTACAGATTAAATAAATTAATGTTGTTATTAGGTATGTAATAATACTATGATTAAATTACTACATTGATCACAATAAAAAGGATTGTGTACATTTGAAAATTTTAAATTTTTAATCCTTCTTTTATTTAACATTAATCTGTTCTGAAGGACTACTCCAGAAAGTCTGTAAATGTTTAAGTTTTTAATCAAATTGTTTTGACTTAAAACATTCTTCATTTAAAACTTAATTTCTTCTAGAAACAAATCTGGGAGAACTCAAAAATATTAATTAAATACTAGTTTTATGAAGTCAAAATAATTTTAAGCTGTAATTTTAAAAATTTCTGAGTCAATTAACTGGAAAATGTGTAGATTTTCATATATTTTGGAGTACTTATTCATAAGAAATTGCATTTTAAAAATATTTACTGATATTAAACGAAAGATACTTTTTTTTTCTATTTTTATACACATGTATTCAAAATTTTTGAATATATATATATGTGTATATATTTGTGTTGAAATGTGTGAAGTAACTTGGAATCAACACTTTTTATAAATAAAACAAAAACTTTAGTGTTTTATTTATATATGTTTCCAACAAAATCTTTTAAAAGAGATGAAAACTAACATTAAAAAAACAAAACACAATTTAAATGTATATTATCAGAAATAATAAGAAAAGAAAAATTTTTAATATATGTGTGTAAATTATATAAGTAACACAATAAAATAATTAATTTTAATGAAACAGTTTAATGGAATAGTTTAAAACAGAATGAAAATTAACAATGTGAATCTTCTTGTTGAATGAAACACTTATTTAAGCTAGAATTCAACAACAAGAAAAATAATTCAATTGCTGTTTCAAGGATTTATGGGCTGAAAATTAACAGTAAACAACTAGCAAAGTTATTTTTATCTCAGGTTTTTACAAGAACCTTTTACTTTTTTTTTCTGTTGTATATAAGCATGATTTCAATGTATTTAAATTAGCAGGAACTTTAAATAAATTTTAATAAATAAGAAATAATTAGTTAAATGAATAGTTTCCTTTTTATTTAATGATACGACTATGTGTTTTCAATAAAGAGAAAACAAAGTTGTTAAATATTTGCTAAACATGCTTCATATTGGACGTCCTTGAAACTCTGAAACATATATTTTAAGTTTACATGTGTTGATTTAAAAAAAAAACTAAATGATAAAGTAAATAAATATGTTAAATGAATAATACTTACATTGATAATTTTAAGGTGACAATATTGTTAAATTATTGATACTACTCATCAGTGCTATATATATATCAGATCAATTTCAGACTATTAAATAATTTGATAAATTATATTTTTAAATATTTTAGAATTACTCTGTTACACATGAAATTTTATAAGTTTATATTTCAAATTGAACTATTTATTTTTTAATGTTCCAGTAATTTTGTTTTATTAATTAAAAACACAAGAAGCTGGTTTAAAATAGAAATATTTTCTTGTAACAAATTTTTAAGATAATTTAAATTAATACCTGTAATAATATCAGTTTTTATTCAGAGTAAATTACTTTTGAGAATTCATCAAATAAATTTTATTTGAGTAATATTAAATGTTTTTTACTAAATATGTACTATGCCAAAGCTTTCATATATACACAAATTGTATTTCACTTTATTATGGTTCTATTGATTTGATAATTTAGATATTTTATCTTTAGGGATGTTCAAGGGTTTAAATTGACTTTAGGATACATTTAGTATACAAATGTATCCTAAAGTCAATGTAAAACCTTTAAAAAAGAATCAAATAAGATAATTTGAATAGACATAAAGATGAAACTAAAAATTTTAAAAGTACTGTATATATAATTATTTACTATAAAATATTATCCTAAGTATTTTAAATTAACTTATAATTTTATTTACTATATAAAAAATATAAATAATAATACAAAGAAACAGTGATAAATTGATCATATTGATGAAGTACACTATATTAATATTTATTGAAACCATGTTATTTCTTATTATTAAAATCATCTAATTTTAAGAACATGTGACTGAAAAGTTTTTTTAATAAAGATGANGCGTTTTAACAAAAATCTATAAGCGCTCGCAAAACGCGCGTTTAACGCGCGCTTGGCTTTTGAGTGTGTACGGCTACATAGAACTCTTGGTTCTTTTAAACGCGCGCGTTTAACGCGCGTTGAAAAACGCCTAGTGTGTACAGGGTCTTAAAAACAGTTATTGCAAATATAATGTTTAAACATGCATTATTATATGAATAGGATAGATAGGCTGTGACCCATATCCTATTTCTGAGATCAAAGAATGTTTCAATGAGAAGAAATAAAACTCATATTTAATCACTGAACCTTCTACTGCCCCCTTGAAAGCATCCAGCGCCCACAAGGGGGCGTTATCGCCCACTTTGAGAAAGAGTGGTCTAAGCCAGTGCTTCCCAACGTGGGGACCACGCCCCACAGGAGGACAATTCGAAAATGGACTTGTCCAGAGTTTAAGTTAACCGTATAGCCACTGTATATGTTAGGGGGGCATAAAAATTTTAGAAAGGCTTAGGTGGGGCATAGCACATAAAAGGTTGGGAAAGACCGGTCTAAGCCCTCAGCATTGAGAGCCTTTTACCTTATTTTGCTTAAGGATTAAAATTTCTAAATACGTCACTGTTTGTCTCCATTGTTTTTTCTGTAAATACGTTTTCAAGAGGTAAAAATATTTTTACAGATTTTTAAAGTATATGCTCTCCATCTCAAATTAATAGTGGCTTGTCTCTGTACATTATACATTTCCTTTAACAATAGAGTCGTGTCGGTCATCTATTAATTGTTTCAGGAGAAAAGCATTTTAAATTGAAATAACGCGACTTCCGTTATGGACATTAATAAAAGGAAGGACAGACAAATGGACATCAGTGGAATTTTATAGGTCTACAATTTTTTAAAATTGCAGCCCAAAAATTGAAAAATAATGAACTTCAATTTTTTTATTATAATTTCTCTCCCCAAATCTATGGACTATGTGTTAAAAAACTTCTGATTTTTATGGTGTAAAACACTGTTCATTATAAGCTGCTGAATATCATCTGCTACAATCTTTTCACAATATCAAAAAAATCACTCTAAAATCATTTTTGTCAAGAAGATATCATGACATGATAAAATGAGGCAGGTCTCATCTTGTTGTTTGTATTGTCCAGATGCAAAAGACAAAAGCACAAATGGATCCATTCAATTCTGCTTGTATGTTTTACACATCCATCAGTCTTCTAATAAATATCAAGCCAATCTTTACTTTTTAAACTTAGCTTAAGATGTTTTAGCTTAGATATTTAATAACAATTAATAGCATTAAACTCTGACACTTCAACTAAGAATGACAAGATGTGTCTCCTTCACTATTGATATGGAAAAAGTTTGTTTTGGTGATTGATTCAGAAAGTTATTATAGAGATACAATTTAATTATATTTTATTAATATAAAAGATTTGCAAAAATAATTTCAAAAATCAGTTTAGAGGAATCAAATATCATACTATTTTGAGGAAGCATTAAGTTTTGGATAGAATCAATTTGTTTTGTTATAAATTTCAGATTAGAATGATAATCTTGGACTGAACATTCCTGCAGAAAATTTCTTTTTCAATTTTTAAGTGTTTTTTTTCCCCTTCATTCTTTTTATTNATAATTTATATTTAAAAGAAAATTATGCATTTTTAATTTAATTTTTGAAATGCCATTAGAATTTTCAATCATTCAACTATTCAAATTTCAACAACTTGTTCTTCATAACCAATTTTATTCTTGTAGTGTAGTTGATTTATTTTGATACAATAAGTTATGCTCAATGAGTATATTTCAGTCTTTCTTATATTGATGATTTTGTTTTAAAACTTAAAAACCTAATAGTACACTCTCAAATAACATCTTCAAAATAGCGAAATTAAAAACACACTTTTAATGTTGAAAAACAATCAATGAAATAGAAAACTAATATATTTAATAAATAAATATTTTAATTATAAAATAATTCCTTTGGAAATATTAGTACAATTATACATAGAATAACTTTTAAAATAGAATTAAAAATTATTTTTTTTTTAAATCAATTTTTAATACTTTTATTAAAACTGGCATATCACGTTTTTAATGTGTAATAATAATTGCTATGTAATATAGAGATTGTAATATATATGAGTGCAATTGCAAAATTGTTCTTAAACAGAGATTAAATTAACACTTTAACTAATTTCTTTTAAAATTAAACATTTTCAAATATGAATTTTTGTGCATGTAACCCTCAGAAAATTGCTAGAACAAAAACAAAATTTTGCATAACCTATTTTACTATATACTTTGTGCCTATTGTTCCATAGTCAAAAGTTTGTAATTGCAATTTAAAATCAGCACATTCTACAATCCACAACCTTTAAAATTGCCTTTTAATTGTAGAAGATAGCCTGTGATGATCTCTCTGATTTTTTTATATAAATAAAATTTATATAAAAAAATAACAGTAATTCATATTTATATTATGTTGTTGACAAATTTCATACAAGTGTAATATGCTTTAAAATTTTAATTTTTCCTAATATTTAATAATCTGTTGTAAAAATTTTTTTATTATAATTTCTTGCCTATAATCTATGGACTATGTGTTAAAAAACTTCTGATTTTTATGGTGTAAAACACTGTTCATTATAAGCTGCTGAATATCATCTGCTACAATCTTTTCACAATATCAATAAAATCACTCTAAAATCATTTTTGTCAAGAAGATATCATGACATGATAAAATGAGGCAGGTCTCATCTTGTTGTTTGTATTGTCCAGATGCAAAAGACAAAAGCACAAATGGATCCATTCAATTCTGCTTGTATGTTTTACACATCCATCAGTCTTCTAATAAATATCAAGCCAATCTTTACTTTTTAAACTTAGCTTAAGATGTTTTAGCTTAGATATTTAATAACAATTAATAGCATTAAACTCTGACACTTCAACTAAGAATGACAAGATGTGTCTCCTTCACTATTGATATGGAAAAAGTTTGTTTTGGTGATTGATTCAGAAAGTTATTATAGAGATACAATTTAATTATATTTTATTAATATAAAAGATTTGCAAAAATAATTTCAAAAATCAGTTTAGAGGAATCAAATATCATACTATTTTGAGGAAGTATTAAGTTTTGGATAGAATCAATTTGTTTTGTTATAAATTTCATATTAGAATGATAATCTTGGACTGAACATTCCTGCAGAAAATTTCTTTTTCAATTTTTAAGTGTTTTTTTTCCCCTCCATTCTTTTTATTCTACAGGCATTGAGAGGCCTTTTAATTGTACTCATCATGGGCAGTGGCACCTGCAGACTATGAGAAAGAGGGGAACAAGCTATAAAAAGGGCATTGTGCATTATGCAAGAAGCTTCAAACTCTTATTCAATGTTGGATCAGTGCCTCCACAAGGTGGCGCAAGTTGCATTTGGTTTAATTTAGCCTTGAAAACAAGAAATGGGGTTTTGGTCAACTTAAGACAAAGTTGCATGGGTCAATGGACAAATATCATTCATTAGTTTCTACTTTTATATTTGCAGAATAGGCTAGAAATCATGAATTTTCTGTTGTTTGTGGCTTCCTAGGGGATTAGGAAAAGGGCAGTCTAGATGGAAAGGGGGTGCATACATTGGTGTTTGGCTAGGCCCATAATAAGGGTGACAAGATTGTCAGGACCTGATGGATCTGGGACAGACCCAACTATTCATGGAAAATTCCTGGAGTTTGTCTGTTTGGATTTAATCCCAGATCCCCGGAATGGCAGGCTGACATCTTTACTGCCTCAGCCTGCCATTTATCTTTTCTAGCCATCAATTTTTAAGCACTAGTGGCACAGATCTGAGTTATAACTTTATTTGTTTTTAAATGTAATATATTGCTACACAGTGTGTGTTTATTATCCATTACAGAATCATATTTAACATTCATNAGAATGGCAGGCTGACATCTTTACTGCCTCAGCCTGCCATTTATCTTTTCTAGCCATCAATTTTTAAGCACTAGTGGCACAGATCTGAGTTATAACTTTATTTGTTTTTAAATGTAATATATTGCTACACAGTGTGTGTTTATTATCCATTACAGAATCATATTTAGCATTTATTATACCATGCCATTAGTGAGTGCAACTGATTGTTTGGAGTTGAAAATATTTCCTTAGTGTACTGGTTTTGGTTGTTATAAGTCAGAAACTCATAAATGAAGAACTAACTGCATTTTTCAATACTGGAGTTTAAACATTCATTGTACAACTTTAAAATGAATTGTTTAATTTCTTTCATAAATTTGATAATATTTCTTTTTAATTATTAAATGTTCTTACAGTTTGCAACATTTCTTTGCTGATATGCCAAGAAAGAAAATAAATGATACTTTCAACTTGCAAAAATCATATGACAAACTGTTTTTGTAAATGAAAAATTGTACCTGCAGAGGCAGGAAATTATAGTACAGTCAAAAATTCTAAGATTACATATAGAATATTTAAATTGGTTAGAATTATTCTTAATTCTAGTTTTAACTTTTTATTTAATTACATATTCTTTTAACAAATTTTTACTAAAATTAAATGTGATATTTTATTTATATAAATCTGATTTTTCACTCTTTAATTTATTTCTTATTATTTTAGATTGCTGATTTTGGATTGTCCAATGTATATGATGAAAAACATCTTTTAGATACTTTCTGTGGAAGTCCACTGTATGCATCACCTGAAATTGTAAAAGGTGTTCCATATTATGGTCCAGAGGTAATAAGTTCATTTTGATGTTTTTTTTTTAATGTATATAGTAAGCCATTAGTAGTATTGTCATTAAAGCATGATCTGATTAATCTAAATCTGCAAAAATCTTCAAATTGATTTCATCAATTTTTCTGACTTGCGTTATCCAAATGCATTATTTTAAATACAATAAAATTTTAAAAAACTTTTTTCAAATTATCTTTCTATAAAAATTGACTTATTTATATACATTATATGTAACCGATACTAAATGCAAAGCTCTGGAAAGAAAAGAGCAAATACAGAACATTGAAAAAATAATTATAAAATAAGAAGTTAGAAGAATATAAACCAAAATCATCAATAATTTATGGCTTTTGTTTCATTTTTTATAAGTAGCAATCTGTATGATTGCCATCAATATAAATGCATAGAAAAATGAAAATGGAATAAAAAGATCTATATTTTTCTTCTTACTGTCAGTTTGTCATAATTACTTTATAATATCAAATATGTTTAATATGCATTTGCATAAGTAAATGCATATTAAAACAAACATTTTTGATATATTAAGAATAATTCTTACTGGTCAAATTTTGATTAATAATAAAAATATCACTTTTTGTATCTAGTGAACAAATAATGTTTTCAAATTGGAGCAATTCTTTGTTCAAAAATTTAACAAAAAAAAAAATAATACTACTAAAAATTTATAGAAATGTTACTTCTTTTTTGTCAAAAATATTAATATAACAAGAAATTATACATATTAAGTGACTCTGTATTGATTGATTGTTTCAGATACTAAAACTGAACTTTTTCTGATATTGCAATGATCAATAATGATATCTAAACTTACTTCTAAAATGTTTATATATATACAGTATATATATATGTATATGTATATATATATATATATATTGGAATGGAAATAGAGGGTAGGAGATTCACATTTACAAATTGTGAAAATATTATTATATATATATATAACATTTGTGCCAAAAATCTACTCTGTTGTGAATATTTACTGGTAGCTCAATGTCACTGAAGTTTCATAGGTTCCAAATAGTAATGATGAGCATATGGCAATCACAAGCTTCAACCACAATGTATCCATTTCAGAACAACAGTTTGTAAAACTAGTTGGTCATCTCAATAAATAAACCATTAAATTAATCACGCATTAGTTACATGACATTCCCACAGAATTAATTTCTGTCATGACTCATGAACTTTATTTTGCTAACATCATCAAGTCTTGCTGCAGATGTTTTTCCCTGTTTCTGGTTGAAGCTGACTCAATGACTCATACTGCTTACTTCAGCACCTATTGGCTATTTGGCTTGTATGGACAAGTTCAGGCACGTTGCTGAAGGACTGCTGATATCATCAGATGCATAGACTATATAATCCAGAAACTGCTCAAGCAAATCACATAATACAATTTTGTTCATTTTGACAAAGTTATTAAATAATAAATATGATGGCAGCAGCAACTAGATCTAAAACTGAAGTGTACCTCCTTGGTTCAACAGTAACTGAATTAACTGGCAACAAGTTGCCATTCTTAAGTCAGGCTTTTGGTTTGTTTTTATATCACCATCTTCAACTGAAACAAACTATCAGTCAGTCATCAGCTGTTACAGTCATAAAGTTGTCAATATTTTATGAAATGGCAAAGATCCCAATGATGGATCCAAGAAACTGCATAACTAAACTAGAATGAACATTTGAATAATGGCATTTGCTAAAGAAAAACAAGGGGCGACAATCTGTAACATAGCAAACAAATGAGGCCAAATTTATTAATAAACTAGATGAACTTTTTGACATTTCTCATCTTAGAGGAGTTGAAATGATAAAAATTCCAGAGGATCATGATTTCTTGTTAGCTGAGTGTGGAAAAGGACGTAAAGGGTCAATTGTAGGTGTGGATGCAAAATTAGCTGCGAAGGAGAAACAATCAGCACAAAGACAGGAACAGATGCTTAACAGAAAACGTAGAATGGAAAACTTGAACAGAAGTTGTGAAGAAATAGCAGAACTAATATCCTCAGCAGCAGCACAGATACTGAAGAAGAAGGTGCAAGCTGTAAAGGAGACAGAGTAACTAGTGAGGGAGCAGTTGGAGACAAATTATCCAAATAGCAAGAAAGAGACACTGTCTGTCTCTACCAAAATAAACTGATAAAGTTACATTGAACATAGTACTGAAAATTTCAAATTTTGTAAATTGTGATGTTTAAAAATATTTTCATTGCATTTTGGTTTGTAATCCATCAAGTTTTTGAATATTGAATTCTACATGACTATTTAATTTGTCTGTAATTGTCCAAAAAGTGAAACAAGTCTTGTTTACCAAAACAGGTCTTGTATGTTTTCATTTGTCATAAATCACTCTTTTTATAAACTTTGTGGTCATTGAGCTACCTCTAAATATTAATATATTGAGTTCAAATTTCTTCTGTAGTAATTTGAGACCAGTTGGATAGTTCTGGAGGGTAGGACCACAAAAAAGTAAAAGATTTATTTTTTCCCTATTTTAAGCACCATCCTAATATAAACATTAAACATTTAGTAGTTATATGTCATATGAGAGTTCTCATGTGATTGTTTAATCTACTTATCACTAAATTGGCCACTGATTATATCTATATATAATATTAAAAACTTTGTGATTATTTAATATTAACTTCATTAAATATTTCCATTTGAATACTTGAATACTGGAATTTGATACTGTATTCTACATATTAAAAGCTTCAATTTTTTTTATTTGCACATTTTGATATTGCAATGTTAATCTTTAATGCTTAATATTTGCTTGAACTGTAGTTTTTAGATTGATTCATTTTTGAATGCATTTAGTTGAAATGAATCTAGATCATGCAATGGAATATTTTTTCAATATATCAAAGCATATGAGATAATTCAGGAAGTTAAAAATAAATTTTAGCTACAGTCTGTCCATAAGTTTACAAACTTTTAAATTTTAAGCTGATAACAATCAAATTATGATTAAAAATGATACTTAAAAACAACTCTTTTTGACTTCCTGAATTAAGTTGTATATTCTTTTATATATTTATTCTAGTTTCAAATCATTTGATTTTCTTAACTTTTAATATGAATATATAAAATTATTCTTATTTTTACACATAATTTAACTCTTAAATTATTATCAGGTAGATTGTTGGAGTATGGGAGTAATACTCTATACCTTAGTATATGGTGCCATGCCTTTTGATGGAAGCAACTTTAAGAGACTTGTAAAACAAATTTCAGAAGGAGATTATTATGAACCCACAACAAAGGCTGGTTAGTTATATAACATTTTTAAAGTATAATATTATTAAGAAAGTATAATCCAAAAATATAAATTATAAAGCTATTTTATTACTTATTAAAAATATATTAAAATCTATTAACACACTGTTTCTATTTGTTTAATTTACAGAGGCATCTAATTTAATTCATCGTCTTCTAAATGTAAATCCAAGTAAAAGAGCAACTATTATTGATATCTGTTCAGATAGCTGGGTTAATGAAGGTTATGAACATTCATTACTTCAAGTTTCAGAAGATCTAGCTAACTTGACTCCAGTTCGAATTGATTTGTTACTAGCCTTAGCACCTGCTTCACCAGAAGAAGGTAATACGCAGAATCCTTTGGCAGCTGCAGATGGTAAATCAAAGTTACCCAATGATGATGATGCTGACACAATTACAGATAGTTTTACTTTTACTGATGGAAAAGCTGACAACGAGCATAATGCTAGTATCCCTAATTTACCAAACTTAGAAGAAGATGAAGAGTTTTTGCCAGCAAATGTAGCAGCAGAATTAGATGAACAATGTGCTAAAAGGCAAGCTGAAAGATCTTTTGATGGAAGCTTAATGAAAATATCAAGTATAGCACATAAAAATAAAAAACCAAAAAAATCAACATCAGTAAATTTAGATCAACCAAAAGAAACTGAACTTTCTAATCAGCAATCAAAACAAGTTTCACAAGAAGTTGGTAAAGATCAAAATAATAATGATAATATAAGTGAAACAAGTAATGAACCTTCTGCAGTAAGTGAGAAAGTAACAGAAAATGAAAATAAAACAGTAAAACCTGACAATGAAGAAAAAAACAAAGCTAAATCTGTGAAAACCAATAAAACCAAGGAGATTACTTCTGAGAACAAAAATGAAACCAGCAAGAAACCTATTTCAGGAAAAAATGAAAAAAATGAACCATCAAAAAGAAAACAAAGCATTGAGTTAAATAAGACTGATGAAGAAAAGGTTGCAACACATGATGGACGTAAACCTGGAAAAGTAACTATTCCTAAATTTTTAGAATCAGCTGAAACATCACCTACAAAAATTGAAAGAAGAACCTCTTTAAATGAAACACAATTAGAACAGAAAGCAAAGAAAGAAAAAGTAAAAGAATCTGAAAAAGAAACAAAAAAGGTTGAAACACCAGACAATAGTGAATTGCATCAAGAAAATCAAAGTTCAGAGAATGCAAATTCGGCTGAAAAAACTTCTGAAAATGAAGATAATTCTAATAAATCTGAAGCCAAAAAAGTTGCTGCTAAAGGAATATTAAAAAAAAATATTGCTAAGGCACGCTTATTAGAAAAAAGATTATCACAACAAAGCTCTGTAGAGTCTAATGATCCATCTTCTCCACCTGTGGATCAATCAAACATATCACCACCACTAAATGTAGAAAGTCCAGATGTAACTAAAGGACCATCTTTTTTCAAAGTTCCACAGCCATACTCAAAAACTACAAAAGAAAAACCAATACAAAGTAAAGCAGAAATAGTATTCAGTAATCAGGAAAATTCATCTAAAGAAAAAAATTCTTCTCAAGCTGAGAAATCATTAGTTCATTTTTCACAAAATCGTGAAGAAACTGAATCCATTTGGGGAACGCCACTTTCACCACCTATTAAAAATGAAAAAAATAATCAGGCACTTATTAAACATTCTGAATGGAATAATATTTCATCAGACATATGTGAAGATAACTGGAAACAAGTTGATGATGATAATTTTGCTTGTGTTAAGCAAGGTCCTACACCAATAACTCGTAGCTACAAAAAATTTACCTTTACCAAAGAAGGTACATGTATAACAGAAACAGGAAAAATTTATACGAAACCAGGAGCTGATGGATCATGGACAAAAGTTGAGAAAAAAACAAAAATTACTACTTTACCAGGAACTGATGAATTTCAAAAATTTGAACATGTTCAAGTCCGTGATGAATCTTTATCCAGATCAGATAGTCAAAGTTCTTCTGAATCTAATGATATTTTTGATGATATCTTTGATAGTTGGACTGGTGATTCAATGATGTGCAACTTTATGAAAATTAAAGATAATATGAGAAAATTTTCAAAAAGACCACTTTTTTGGAGAGAAAGACATCATGATCCTTTTCGACAATTTAAAACAGAGAGACAGCAATCAAAAGAATGGAGCAGGCAGAATGATAAAAGATATGTTCAATCCTCTGAAAGAGAATCATCAGATAATGAAGATGAATTTGATATTCACTTTGATGATATGCATCCTGTTGTTTATGGTTCACAAGGGCTTTGGCAATTAATGATGTCAGTTAATAAAGATCTACCTCATCATTTAAGAAGTTTCAGGGACCCACCACAAATGCCTTGTTTTACAAGATCTGTCAGTCGAAACAGAGGAGCAGCATTGCTGCAAAAGCAGAATCAATATGGCTCTAGAGGAAGTACAGGATACAGCACAAGATCATTAAGTAGAGAAAGATCTCAATCCCCGAGAGAGACTGTTTTAAGATTTGTTCTTGAGTCTCCACAAAGGCAACAGTCTGTAAATGTAAGTGAACCAGATTCACCACAAAAACAAGAGGCTTGGAATTGTAAAGATTATGCTACAAATGCACAGGAAAGACGAAGTCGTAAAGACAGTGGTGTTGAAAGTTGTACTAGTACAGATTCAGATGGTATAAGACGGCTATATTCTAGAGATGAAACAAGATACCCATCATTCGATGATGGTTTTGGTCCTAAAACATTTCATCAATATGTTAAATCAAAAAATTCAGCAGAGAGACATGGTTCATTTGAAGAAGAGTATCCCCAAAGTCCTTTTGATAATTTAGCTGACAGCAGACGACATAGAGTGGAACAATGGTTACATATGACTGACGTACCTGGTTTTGATAGCCCTTTTGAAGAATTTGTTAGATTACATGATTTATCTGCGCATAATGAAAATCCCACATCATCCATATATGGAACAATGAGACCGAGGGATTATATGAGATACAACCGATCTATGAGTGATAAATTAACAGATATAGATGCTCCTTTTAATGATCAATTACAGGAACCTCAGCATTCACAATCAAACCAAAGCTTGGAGAAACAGAGTAATAAGTCATATCGAAGTGAAATTTCTGTTGACAGTACAGGAAAAGTTCAAAGTTCAACAGTTAAAACTGTTACAGAAACAAATTATCCAGAAAGGATGCCTATACATTCAAACAGTGGAAATTCATTTAATGTAAAATATGATTCAGATGGAAACAATGGAAGACCACAAGTTACATCTAATCCACAGAATTATACCAAATATACACGTTCTTACAGTGGGAATTTGCAGTTTGCTGGACCTCAAGAAGGAGTTACTTCAAGAGGAACAAATCGTCCTATTCTTTCAATGACAGTTTCATTCAATAGAGGTAATCCAGATGGATCTGTCATTGTTCAATCAAATACAAGAACACCAGGTAGTACAGGTGGTGTTTGGCAACAACAAGAATTTACTACGGCGCCAGGAAGAGTAACAATAAGACGTGAATTCAGTGATCCAACAAGTGAAACACCAAATGTCACTACTATTCCAGTACAAAGGTTTTATAGTACACAAGAATCTAATAGATCCAATGTAGAAAATCTTGGACAACCTAGAGGTAAGTATTTCAATTCAGAACTTTTGAATCCTGCATGCTCTGGATGGCGCATGGCAAGTACTAACAATTCCACAAAGCAATTTTCCTATCTAGCAAAAAACATTACTAATGATTATGTTGCATGTTTAAAAGAAAATTCTGCTTCTGAATTAAAAGAGGAGAATACATTAGACATCAGATCAGATGGAACTCTTACACCTGACAGTTTAGAAACATCATCTGTCAAAGATGAAAATGAACCGCAGGTTTCAATCACTGCACCAGAATCTGTTGGACTTTGGAAATTTGTTAATAATAATTCTTTAAATAAAGAAAAAATGATAGAAACTGAATATAAACAGCATTTATTAATATCAGAAAAAAATGAAGTTAGTGTTAAATCTGAAAATGCAGTTTTACAAACAAGAGTTAGTGCATATGAGTCGTCATTAACATCTGTACATGATAAGGATTCTAGTCAGTCCTTTCCTATTGAAAAAACAGCTAAAATATGTGATATCAATTTAGAAGGTTGTGTTAAAGAAGAAGTAAATTCACTTATCTGGGACAATAAAACTTCCTTAGAATCTTGTACATATAAAGTCGATCAAGAAATGGAATCATCTCAACATGCCAAATGTTTTCAACAGTTTTCTAAAACTGATTCCATTGGCGTATCAGTTTTAGAACCAAAAAAATGGGCTACTTTTGATCAAAATATGTTAATGATTACAAGTAAATTAAAACATTCTTAAAAGTTTTAGAGTATATTTAGTTTATAACTATCCTATTATATTAAAATAAGGGTTTAACTATTTACCAAGAAATTTATATTTTTATTTTCTATTAATCAAGTAAACTTTTTATTTTTACTTGATTAGTTTTATAGAAAATTTTGAAATTTGTTGATGAAAATACTTTTGAAAAGAAACAACTGTACTTCAAATTAGTATAAAAATCATTTTTTTAATTACTATCTTAGTCATATTTTATGCTCTTACTGTGATATTATAACTATTTTAAATTTTATGTGAAATTTGTGCTCTTAATGGTGTGAAGTCCTATTGTTTGTTATCTAATTTGTTTTACTAATATTTTATCATGACATTAAATCATGTTTACAGGATTAGTAATAACATGACTGTAATAAAAATGAATATTTTTATACAAAAATGTAACATACATATAATTTTATAAATTTTGGCAAATGTACTTTTTATATTAATTAGAAATGTTGTTCATTATGGATATTTAAGAAATATATAAGTTTTTTTTAAATTTAAAACATATAATATTATATCTTTACATTCCTAATATTCTGTTCAACATACAAAATCATTTAATACTCATTATCTTGATTTAATCTGTAATTTGAACTTAAAAAATTTAATAACAAAACAATTAAAAAGCCAAAATATCTTTCATCATCCAACTTGCATCAATTATATATTAATATACTAAAAAAGCATCCTGAAAAAAATTAAAAAATATAATTTTATCACCTTCACATACAAGAAAATATTCTGAAATGATTAAGTTTTGGAAGAGATTAAATCTTCTCATGCTCTTCTAACTTTGTAACTTCTATAATTTCACCAAAAATGTCTCTTTAGAGTTTTTAAATTAGTGAAATTTTGATGACAATTTTATAAATTTAAAAATTACTGAAATTTGCATTATTGAAATATCCTTGATAGATAAGTTATATTTAAAATTAATTCTTACATATGTTTAACATATGTAAGACTTGAATATAAATTTTTATCAGTAATCAACGTTTTTTTATTTAAATAATAATCTTGTTTCAAAAATCAGTTTAAAATAGCCATCATTGGAATTAAAATAAAAAATCTACACTTATTATTATAATAATTTGAATTAAAATTATTATTTAAATGATTACGTAAGTTGGAAGATTGAAATTTTTTGTTTTTTTTTTCAAATTCTAAAGGATTCAGAAATAGAAAAAAATGTTTAATTTATTTTTATTCATCCTTTAATATGTTAAATATTGTTTATCAGAAATATAATGAATATTTAATTAAACAAAATTTATTTAGATCTGTTGAAAGTCTTTAAAATTTCTATTGTGCCAAAAATAAAAATGATGATGATAATTTGGATTTAAAATTAAATGTTTAAAGTATAAAAATATATTGAGATTTATTTAATATTGAATTTTAATTAATTGTTATAAACAATTTCAGAATCATTTATATTAATTATAATTATAGAAAAAATTATTTAGATTTATTGAAGTTCTTATTATTATATAAAATATAAAATTTATAAAGTGCCTAAATAAGATACATATGAAAAAAAAAAATTATATAAATAAATTTTGAAAATTTCAATTTTTAACTTGTTTTTTTTTTTTATTTTTTAATTATTCGAAGAGTTCTGTATATTAATTCACTAATTTCTTTTATAAAAAAAAATTATTAGAGTGTCTTTCCATAATGGATATTGGTATTTCTACAACTACATCTAAATATAGAACGTCACTGTAAATAGACTAGAGCATTACACCAGTCTTACTCAACATCTGAGGGTGATATTGTAGGAATGTGATGTCATAATTATATTTTTCCTCTTTATTCCCATTCTAAATTTAGATTTTGTGTTTAATTTATTATTATCATTTTATACTGACTGCTAATTTATTGCATGATGTAACAGTACTTTTACTGAAATGCTATGATGTTCAATGACTGCTGACAATAAAAGTGAAATGTTTTTTATGTATTTTATTTGTACATAAAAATATTTGTCATTAAATTTATTTTCAATTTAATTAATTGTTGATGTAGTTAATTTATTTGACTAATTGTTATGAATTTGAATTTTATGATCTGTAAGCAATTAACTTGTTTGATTTGATTGCTGTTAAAGAATATGAATGATCAATTAATATATTTATTAATGAAAGAACTAGAGTGAAAAATATTAACAAATCTTAGGTAAGTTACTATTTATTTATATAAAATTTTACATGCCTATACTAACTTTTAAATAACTGCCATAATAATTTAATATTTGATAATAAATGAAGCTTTAAAAAACAATTAAAATTCCTAAATTCACTTTTAATTACCATTAAACTTAAATTTTCTACATTTAATTGTCTGTATATTTAAGTGTATTAAATATTTTTGTTCATTTATCAACACTGAAAATTTGACTTAATAAAATAAACAAATTATCAAAAATTTATTTTAATATATTAGTCTATATGCATTTTATAAAATTAAATACAAGATGTATGAATGAACAAAAGCCAAATGTTTTATATATATTTGTTCCTACTCAAACACTGAAATTGAATGATAAATGTGTAAAATTCAGGGCTGTGGAGTTGCGTAAAAATCTACCGACTCCGGCTAAAACACCAAAACTCCATGACTCCGACTCCACAGCCTTGGTAAAATTAAATAATCCCTATTAAAATTAAATAGATATCTTGAAGCATTGTGTGTCTACAGACAAAATAACTTTGTCAGACTCACTAAAATTATTATTATAATAATACACTGGAAAATAATATAATATTGGATTTTCAACAATTTATAAAATTTATATAAATTCATGGTTCATTATAATTGATTTCTGGAAAATATATATTTTAATGAAAACTTAACTATTTAACATACTTTTATTTTTACTGATGATTCTAAATTTTCTGATTTAATTGTTATAGTTAATTCAGATTGCAATTCTGAACAATATTTCTCCATTTAAATAATTTAACTAACAATTAAATTGATAGATTGCCTTTAAATAATAATTAAAAATTTATGTTACTATAAATCTAATATTAATTTTGAATTTTTTGATGTAACTTATAAAGTTCAATTAATTTCTTGATAAAATATTAAAAAGTATTCTTAATTTAAATAAAAGTTTATTATAATTAGTTACTTTATTAACATAATTAAGATATATTATTTAAAATCTTATAATAATTTTCTTTTATAATTATAAAATTCAAATTTTCCTTTCAATATAAAGTTTATCAAAAAGTATAAATATGTAAAGTAAAAGATTTTAAATTACAGGTCACCCTTGTATAATGTGGTAATTAGGATCCACATTATAAAAATCATTTTATACAAGACACGTTACATAGTGAAAGTAGGTTTACATTCCAAAATCATTTTTTAAATGTAAATTTCATCTATCTAATGGCTGGATGTTTTCATCTGTTGAAATCTTTTGGACATTGCTATAACTTTCAACTTTTTCAGATTTGTTTGCTGGTTTACTTTCCATTAAGTCAATTGTGAGAGTTTAAGTACTGTACCTTATTGCAATTGTTTTCAAAGTTCATTGTATGGTGTTAAACAAATTTCCAATTATCTTTGAAATTTGCTGGAGCACTCAATGGAGAGATCGTTATCTGCAAAAAAAAAATTTTCCTAACTTTCTGCCAAGTCTATATTCTCTCTTAATTTTTTTTAAAGTGAATTCGTTAACAGATTCCTAGAATCTTCAGCTGAACTATTTCCATTGGTATTCTCTATATATTTTGGGTCATTGTCATCTACTACTTGTACCAATTTTTCCCCTTTCAAATCTTTCATTTCATTAATTCACGAATATCATTTTCAACCATATCAAAAAAGCTCTCTCCACCAAAATTATAAGCTATTATATCAAAATTGCATTCTGTAAGTACTGTACTGCAATATACAAGGGTGAATAAAGGATAAACATTGAATTAATCTATTAAAATATAGAAAATAAAATTACTAAATATAATGATAATTCTTTTGCAGCTGATGGTTCAGTTCCCATCCGGGTTTGGACAACCAAAACAACTCGAATGAACTGATGAAAGGGGACACAATTTCAAATCTAGTTTTAAGTGCCTTATAGCTTTATAATAATCTGTGTGAAAATATCTTACTGAGAACTTACTAATGTTTTAACTAGAAAATAAATAATACAGTAAAGTAAAATCATAATGTTTATATTTGAATTCAAGACTTTGTTGAAAAATAATAATAAACATGTAAATATTGAATTGGTTGGATTGTAAAAATAAATCAAAAGAAATTTATAGATTGGATGCTAAATTGATCATAGTTGCTTATAAATCAAATCAAAAATATTTATTGTTCTTACAAATTTTTCTAGTAATTTCATAATTATAATTTCTATTATCATTGCATTTCTTATTTTTTTTTACTATTTGAAAAATCATTTAATAAATTCTATTGCTCCAACCAATTATTAGTCATGTTTTGTATGCATAAAATTGTTAGGTATATTAGCGTTAGCTAGTAAGAAAAGAAAATAAAATGTGTACTTATTGACTATTTTAGCTTTATAATGTCTTAGACTATATACAATTTGAAGCCTTAAAATCTTGATTATAAAAGGCTTTTGATATTTCAAAATAAATTGTGTACAGTCAATATAAAGTTAAAGTTTAAAGTTCTCAATAATTTGTTTGAATTTAAACTTATAGTAGAACTTTATTTCTACAATGTGATTTATTCCAAGTCAGTTTCTAAATACAATCAAAAATATCTTTCATCTACAAACTGTATTCGAAGTACCGATAATAAATGTTGGCTTTGCATTTACAGAATATCTGGAATGCAGAAAATTCTGCTTTTATAAACTAAGTAAATTCATAAATTATGTAAATTCTGTGATAATAAAATTTATGCATAAACCCTTTTGTAATTTTATTATTTTTTTAATTTTCATATATATAATAATTTTTAATGTATTAAATCACTTTGTATGTATAACAAGGAATCCATTTTTTTCAATGAAAATGTTAAAAATTTTAAATACAGCATAAACATTCTTATACAATAATAATATAAAAAGATGAATTTTCTGAAAGGATAAAATATAATTTAGTTTTATGCGAAATACATACTCAGAAAATATTATACTTTGTCATCAGTGATGCACCTAGAAAGGGGCCAAGAAGCCCTGGCATCCTCCAAAGGAAAAGAAAAAGAATACTAGAATATTTTTCAAAATATTTTTTTTAATTAAAATTAATTTTTTTATTCATATTTTGTTATCTTCTATTTCTATACTATTAATGAATTAGAAGTCACATAAGATGGGAATTTTATTGAATTCCATATGAAAAATGTTTTTATTCATTCAACTTTGTTCCCCTCGATTAAATCCTGAGTGCACCACTGTTCGTCATCACTTAGAAAGCCTATTAAGATTCAATGTGTGATATTTATCATATCAAATAATAGAAAATCAGAAGAAAAAGTTTGAATGGGATGGTAATCCAAACTCGTATTTTCAGAGACAGCAAAGAAAAAAACATAAACTTCAAATTATTGCCCCTCTTTTCTCAATTTAACTTATTTTATAGATTTGTTAATGTAAACATTATCACAGCTTTGAAATTAAAGTAATGCTAAGTGAAATAATATGCTTTTATAAAATATTACATTTCAATGCTAATAAAATTGTGTTGTGTAATAATTCAAATTTTGCACCATTTCATAGACATGATGATTGCAATTTCATTGAGGTTTCTCCTTCACTCATGGAAATTCTGGCAAATGACTATCTTCCAACACCAAGACCTAATTTTCAAATTGTAAATATCTGCAAAAATATCTAATTTTTATTGTCATTCAACAACTCTGTCATTTAATATACATGAACACAGAAAATCCATTTAAATTTTTATATTCAATGGAATTGCTAGGTACTTGAATTCCTATTACTTTTGAGATTATGAAAAAGACATGTTTAACATCTTTATTTTTCTATTTTGAATGATTTTATTTTATTTCATGTATACAAGCAATAAGAATTTAAAAACTGTGATATTATATGACAAGGTCTTCTTTCATTAGAAGTATTTTAATAATAAATTTTTAAATTACTTACAAAATATAATTTTTATTTTATAAATTTATATGTAGATTTAAGAAGCAATTATTTATTATAACGTCTGTATATTTAAGTGTATTAAATATTTTTGTTCATTTATCAACACTGAAAATTTGACTTAATAAAATAAACAAATTATCAAAAATTTATTTTAATATATTAGTCTATATGCATTTTATAAAATTAAATACAAGATGTATGAATGAACAAAAGCCAAATGTTTTATATATATTTGTTCCTACTCAAACACTGAAATTGAATGATAAATGTGTAAAATTCAGGGCTGTGGAGTTGCGTAAAAATCTACCGACTCCGGCTAAAACACCAAAACTCCATGACTCCGACTCCACAGCCTTGGTAAAATTAAATAATCCCTATTAAAATTAAATAGATATCTTGAAGCATTGTGTGTCTACAGACAAAATAACTTTGTCAGACTCACTAAAATTATTATTATAATAATACACTGGAAAATAATATAATATTGGATTTTCAACAATTTATAAAATTTATATAAATTCNTTAATATATATAGCATAAAGTAGCAAAGAGTTTAACAAGATACATTCAGATTTGTACCAACCACATATAGCAATCCAGACGGCTTGAAGCCTTAAACTGAGACTCACAAATCGGCAACCTGCCAGCCTGATACAACCAGTTACGGCTTTGTATCCGGCCTGCGGCCTGGATTATTTCTTTTCTAAAACTAACTGTTTCTAACATCTTGTGGGGATTAACACTTCTAACTGTTTACACGAATCGTACAGGCCCGGCAACGAAAGTTTTTTTTTTTTTTTGGTTTACGAAATAATATGGCCCGTGTCCGATATACGTCTATTTGACCGGCCTTTTGCAGCATTTGAATTCGAGATTTCCAATTCTTAATTCATTGTTTTAAAAACTTTTAATAACTAAAATGTCTTAGGATTTTTAGGCTCTATCAGAGGTATTAATTTACATCTGATATGGAGAGTGCCAATGGTTCAATGGCATGAAGGTTGAGAAAAGCGAAATCCCACTCGGGTGTAATATACAACCGCATATCTAGCACCAATCTGCATTATTTCTTTAGCTTCTGTTGTCCTATCCTAAAACCCTACAGTTATAGAGAAAAACAGAATGGTTTCAGGCTAAAACATTTTCCTGCGAAACTTGTGGCGCGATGAGTAATAGCATCAGAACACAGAGTGGTTTTACCCTACATTTTCTAGGGTAACTCTAGAAAGAATTTTATTCAAAATGTTGCCCAGAATTACAAAAGCTTAAATTTATGCGAATTAAAACTCTTTTTTATAACGATTTTTCTGAACGGTGTATCGAAAGCGTTTGATTGGAAGCGGTACCCAGAAGATTTTTACCTGTAGGCCTATATACTTTACATTTCTCCTTTAAGCGCCACGTTTATCTTTACCAAGGAAAAGCTCCTAAGAAAAACTTTGACCCCGTGGTCTAAATTGTCATAAGTTTTTACTTGGCGTAATTGTTTTACATCTCAGATATTTTTATTTGAATTATATTATTATCATAAAGGCTCTCGTATGCATCTTGATCTGGCCAACAAGTAGAAAACATTTTACATCTAATTTTATGACTTATTGTTAAATAAATGGATAAAATTATGCAAGGATATTGCATCTGCGTGGCTACATAAGTTTCTCATTTAATAACGTTATAAACACGAGCAATTATTTATTGTGACATGGTCACAATGTCAGGCTGCAATTTTTCGTCACACTGCTTTCAGTTTTAGTAGTGTGTTGTCTCCGTACATCATACTTTTCCTGTTAACAATGGAGTCACGCCGGTCATCTATCTGACTCCACTCAAGAGAATATTTATGAATTAAAATAACGTGACTTCCGGTTTGTACCGGAAAGTTCAGTTATTATTATAACTGAAGTTTCCTAATTTGTTACGACAGCCCTGTATTAATTTATACTCCTTTCTGTGTTGATAACAGATAGGCATTATAACTGAACAGAAAAAAAACTTAAATTAGGCACCGTGCTAACAAAAAATTTACGAAATTTTTTCCGTTGAAAGTGTCGAAACTATTGCAAGTGACGTATCGATGATTTAAATTGATATAATATTGACAGAATATGATACCGTCTACCCGCTTGAAGGGTTTGATTTATGACGATTGTTTGGGCTTCTAGGATGTGTACTATTTTCTGTTGGTTTTTCGGATAAACTGTTTATCTGACTGTTCATTGCTTCGACCTCTTCTGATTTGTTCAGAAGAGAAATATTAAAATTTTACCTCTGAAGTCCTCGTTTCGTGGTTAATCTAACCTTTAATTCATTCGCGTAATTTCCACTTTTATCATATCGGAGTCTATTGGTTTCAATAAGGAATATTAAAGAAAGCCGGAGTTGTGACTCAAAGGATTATAGACCCAAATTCGAGGAAAAGAGAAAAACCAAAAGATAAAAAGAAGTGAGAAAGGTTGAATAGACCTTCTGTTATGCAAATACTGTATTGATCCTTAATTTTCCAACCTTTCTTACTATTTTTTATCTTTTGGCCTTTCTCTCCTTTCCTGGAATTTGGATCTATAATCCTTTGAGTCACAACTCCAGCTTTCTTTAGTATTCCTTCCTCATTCACACATTTCCAAGTATTTGAAAATATTTCCTTTCCTCTCAAAAATAAAATATGTAGGCCTATAGAGATTTACGGCTTTCTGAAACTTCTTTTTTGAGTTTATGCCGTTGAAATAAATAAGTAAATAATAAATAAATAAATTTGTCGGTTTTGTTTATTTAGCATTTCTTCCAGTGTTACAAGATTTGGCTACTTTGCGCCAAATTTGGCTNAAGGATTATAGACCCAAATTCGAGGAAAAGAGAAAAACCAAAAGATAAAAAGAAGTGAGAAAGGTTGAATAGACCTTCTGTTATGCAAATACTGTATTGACCCTTAATCTTCCAACCTTTCTTACTACTTTTTATCTTTTGGCCTTTGTATCCTTTCCTGGAATTTGGATCTATAATCCTTTGAGTCACAACTCCAGTATTCCTTCCTCATTCACACATTTCCAAGTATTTGAAAATATTTCCTTTCCTCTCAAAAATAAAATATGTAGGCGTATAGAGATTTACGGCTTTCTGAAACTTCTTTTTTGAGTTTATGCCGTTGAAATAAATAAGTAAATAATAAATAAATAAATTTGTCGGTTTTGTTTATTTAGCATTTCTTCCAGTGTTACAAGATTTGGCTACTTTGGGCCAAATTTGGTTACTTTTTTTAGTTGGACTTAAAAAATATCATTTGGAGCATTGACTACTTTTTGGGCTATATATTATTGATAAATATATTAGTCGAATAAAAACGGATCGAAAAAGCCTCAAGAATTTTTCAGGTGGTGGTCAGTCCCGATATGTCAGGACCCGTGCTTCTCATTCTAACGCCCCATTGTGGTCCTGCCCGAATCCATAATGGGCTCACTAAAACATGCCCTGCCCAATAGTGGCCAAGCGGTATCGTTCCCCGAATACTAGGAGTTCGGTCGTGGGTTTGCGCCTGGCTAGGACGGGACGGCCACGTGGAGTTTTCCGGGTTTTCTCCACGTCTGTAACGCCAAAATAGGAGCCAGTAACCCTTAAAACACCTCCCGGAAGGCATTTCCCCCTAAGCAGATCGCCCAAATGTTGCGTTACCGTAATTTAACAAACAACAACAATAAAACTAGTATCCAAGGGCGGGGAGTTTTAAAAAACTCCACACAACAAGTAACTTTTAATAGATTTAAATTTCAAATTAACTTTTTCCATTCAAACCCGTGAATA